GAACCAGATCTTTAAGGATGGGTATTTCAGGTCCCATCCAACCCAAACCATTTCATGAGCCTGTGTTTTGTACAAGATCCATGCACTTTGTGGCTTTTTTTAAATTTTGTTTTAAAATGTAGTGTTGGACAGATCTTGAAATACAATGTGTCCAGTTCATTTTACTTAGACATTCATATTTATGTATAGATCTAGATTAGGTAGGCCTGGGGTTTGTTTGGGGTTTTTTTTTACCCTTTTTTGAGGAATTTTTGCCATTTTTGCTTTCACATAGGATAAGACAATGTCCAGCCCCTTCACAGAGACAAATTTGCATGATGTGAGAATCTCCTGAGCTGCCTCTCAATGAAATCATTCCAATCCTCTGACCAGAGAGTGGGGTCTTGTTGGACAAGTTGCTCCCCCAGAAGAGAGGAACCCCCCTGCTGTAACCACGAGTGGTGCAGGAAAACTCCAGGAAGAGCAGGGGGAGGGCTGAACTTTATCCCCAGATATTCAGCTTTGCCTCCCACCCTCCTCTTAGAAATCCCTTTTCCTGGGCAGCTGTTACCTGGAGCAGCTGCCCTGGCCTGTGCTGTGGGAGGAGGATTCTCAGCCTCCTCCCCAGTGTTGAACTGCACTGCTGGGGTGCCTGGCTGGTTTTATTTCTGGCACTGGGCACTGGGAAGATGCTGTGGGAAGCACATGAGACTCCAGCCCCCTTCCCCCAGCCTGGGTGCAGAGATCCTATTATTTCTGATAATTGATGCTGAGGGCTGTGGCGTGCCTCATTTAATCAGCCCTGCTCAGCACACTCCAGGGATGTAATTCATGTAATTCCACCTCCAACATGGCTGGCCAGCCTCGGACACACAGCCCAGCAGCCACAGCAGCTTTTAATCAGCTGTCTGAGCACTGTTTGTCTAATCAGCCAGGAACTCTGTCACAGCCAGACCAGAGGTGACATTAGCACATCTGGAATGCCTGGCTGCAGCACTGGAGGGAGGTGGTCAGGGATAGATTCTGCATGTGAATACTCTGCCAGGAATAAAAGCACAGCCACAGCAGCTTTTAATCAGCTGTCTGAGCACTGTTTGTCTAATCAGCCAGGAACTCTGTCACAGCCAGACCAGAGGTGACATTAGCACATCTGGAATGCCTGGCTGCAGCACTGGAGGGAGGTGGTCAGGGATAGACTGTGCCAGGAATAAAAGCTTGTTTCTACTCACCAAAATGGAAAAAGACCCGAACTGGAGCAGGTTGGAAGGGGTTAACATGGGGTTATGTTGACTGTAATATCCTGAGCATCCTTAGAGAACTTCCCAGGTAACAAACAGATGTGTCCTGAGATCACACCTGGGTTCAAACCCTTCCTACAAAGCCCTCCTGCTTTTGGAAGCAATGCTACCTGATCGTGGTGGCAGTAAACACATTTACAGCAGAACCTGGCTAATCAAAACTGGCCAGGACAAGCATCAGCAGAGGATAAACAGCAGCCCCAATAAAGAAGGCAAATACAGAAATTCTGTCTGCTCACAGCTGTAAAATTATTGCCTGAGCACATACAAAGAGAGGTGGTAATTGGGAGTGATTAAGTTTAATTGATTCCCAGTTCCTCCATATCTTTACAAAAGGCTGTCCTGGAGCCTGGTTTCCTCCTTCCTGTTCCAACACAGCTCTTCTCACTGATGTGCAGGTGTAAAAGCTTCTTCTACACCAACGGGGGCAGTTCATCTCTCAGGGAGCACTCAGAAACAGCAGCAAAGGGATGATCTGTGCCCCCACATCCTGCTGGATACTCAGAAACAGCAGCAAAGGGATGATCTGGATGTCCTGCCCAAGCTGCAGCTGCTGCCACCACCCCTGCTCAGGGACAAGGACAAGGACAAATCCTCCACTGAAAGGTGCCCAGGCATCAGAACAGGCTGCCCAGGGCAGGGCTGGAGTCACCATGCCTGGGGAGTCCAGAATGTGGGCAAGTGAGGCACTTTGTGCTGGGGCTCAGTGAGATGTTGGTGCAGATGTTGGGCTCGGCCTTGATGGGGCAGCCACAGCTTCCCTGCATCCTCAGTGTCCCAGGGCCAATACTGTTTGCCACTTCAGGAAAAGTTAAATTAAGTGCTGAGAAGTTGTTAGCTTCATCCCAGATGTTTGAGGTTTGAGAAGGTGTGTCTGGGTTTTTTTCCCCCTGGAATCTTTAGTTAGAAACACCTCTTGGTGGCATTTTTGTAAGAAAACACATTTCCAGAAATTACTTCAAAAATCAATCTGCCTTAAAGATCTTTTTTTTTTAATTATTTTTTATTTGGGAGTTTTTCTGTTAGATAATGAAGTATTTCTTACAGCATTTTATCGATAAACAGTTGTAGTTTCTTTGATTAAGCATATATATGAGATATATACATATATATACACACATATATATACACATATATGCATATGATGTATATATGAGATATATGATATAGATACATATTTTAATATATATAATATGTGTTTTTATATATTATATAGATATATATTTTATATATCTATATATCTAATCTATCTATCTATATCCCTCTCTATATATATTAAATATATTGGTTTCCAACCCCAATCATATATATATGATATAGAAAATAGATTTGGATAATAGATATATATATAGATATAGGTATATAGATATAGATATATGTATAGATATTATATAGATGGTATGGATGATAGAGATATAGATATATAGATTATAGATATAGATATAGATATAGATATAGATATAGATATAATGTCTGGAGCTGTTTGTTGGGTTTACTTTGGGGACCAGGAAGTGAAGCCAGAGCAGACAAACTGAATATCCTGGGAAATAATTCAAAGCCAAAGCAGGCAGCTAATGACCTGCAGGGCCTGTTCCAGCCTGGTTGTGGGTAACAGCAGTGTGTAATTCCAGAGGCAGGCAGGGTAGGATGGCTCTGCCCTCCCTGGCACATCAATCACCCTGCAGAGGCTTTGCCTGGCAGTGTCCAAACCCTCACTGAATCCTTAAAGGCAGGAGAGCACCTGGAGGAAGCAGGCAGGAGCCTAATCGATGCCAAAGGATGCGTGTGGATGGATCAGGACCTCAGCATCTCTGTGGGAAAAGTCCATTTGTTTAAAGGGAAGGGAAAGGCCTGACACTTAACACATTAAAATGGATTATTTCATCAATAGGTTAATAGAAAAGCAGGCTGCAGGTTCAGTCCTGCACGCAAAACGTGCCATTAAAGTGTGAAAAATGGGAAAGGCACTGGGAAAGGGTCTCTGTGCACTGGAGACCATCTTCCCTTTCAGAGGGGTGCCAAACCTCAATTTTGCCTATTTATATGTAAATGTTTCAGAGGAAAAACAAGTTTTCTGCAGGGCAATTGTGCCTCTCTAGTGCAGAGACTTCTTAAACAGGTCTTTAAATGAAAGGGTTTTTCCAGCTTGAAGGATGCACCCAGTGGAAACACTTTTAGATTTGGTGATGCCACTCAGAATGCAGTCCTCCTTTTCAGTATGGAGCATTGAACGCAGCAGATGGCTTTATTCAAATCATACCTGGCTTAGCAGTCAGGGGGGTTCAGGCAGTGCTCTTCCAGCTCTAATTCTTCAGGTGAAAATGGGGCTTTTTGTTAAAGCCTGGAATGACTTTGTGGCACTGTCCCTTCTCCCTGTCAGCAGCTGTCTGGTCTGAGTTCTGTGGGGCATGACAGAAATTCCCCCATAAATATTGAAGGAAGTTTCTTCAGTTATTGTATCCTGGTGCTGGCTGTGTTGTGGGGTGTGGATGACATCCTAAAGAGAGAGGGACATCTGTGGTGGGAGGGAGAAGGGTCTGTGGTCCCTTAGAAGACTTCTTGAGTCCAGCCACCAACTCAGCACCATCATGTTCACCACTAAACCCTGTCCCACATCCAAGTGCCATTTACACACTTCCAGACAGGGGAATTCCAGCAGTTCCCTGTTCTTCCAGTGGCTCTCAGGTGTCCTGGGCTACTCAGATGTTTCATCTGGTTCCTGTGTGAGGAAACCCAGCCAAACTTCAAGATTCTAAAGAGGGTAAAAATGTAACTTGAAAATGTGCCCTAATGAGCCTTGGAACAGGGTACTTTTGAGCCAGATTTTCTATTCATTGTGAAGCAGCAGCTCAGAGGATCTCAAAGTTTGGGTCAATTCTAATAAAACAAGGGTGTTGCTATTCTCTGTAAAGAACAGACTTTTTTCCCCTGTCCTTTCCAAATAAACACTTTGATTTTGCAATGGGGGAGGAATTTTGGAGCAGCCTAAGATAGTGAAAAGTATCCCTGTCCATGGCAGGGGGTGGAACAAGATGGGCTTTGAGGTCCCTTCCAACCCAAACCATTCTGGGATTTTATGATTCTGCTTCCTCTGAGCACAGTGCTGCAAAGAACATTTGTTGGGATGAGGATTTAAGGTCATTACATCATCATCTCAGTTTCTGAAGGTGGTGATGTAAAAGGAGATTTAAGGGTGAACTCTGGGCACCAAGTGATCCCCACAGGCTTTTGGAGGAAAAGGAGCTCTTGTCTGGCTGTGTTTTGTTGTGAAGTAAATCACATTTTACAGTAGCTGTTTTGTCCAGTCCTGTATGTTCTGCTCAAATACTTCCTGCCTTCTTTTTCTTTTTTGCCCTTTTTTTTTTGACTTCTACTGGTCTGTTTTTGTCTATTCCAATAGCAGATCCATTTAATCTTGTCAAATGGTGTCATGTTGTGGTGACTGAAAGAAGAATCACTCTGAAGATGAGGTTTTCCACACTGGCCATAGATTGCAGGGGCTGAGTGGTCCTTGTGTGCATTTTCTGTGTGTAGCTCTTCACGTGTGAGCAGGCTCGTGCTTGGATTTTACTTCACATGCTTTTTGATGTTTCTTTTCTCCCCTTTTTCATTGACCAAAAAAAAAAATTTTTTTTCTTTCTTCCTTCCCCTTCTTTTTTTCTTTATTTTTATTCTCTTTTTTATTTTTTTTTTCTCTCTTCCCCTCCTGCTCTCTGGACGCAGCCAAACGCAAAGCTTGGAAACTAAACCGTGTTGGTAGCCTGCGAAATATTTACAGCAGCAGCAGCACCAACACCGAAGGTAACAAACCCACCCGCCCCAGACAAACACCTCCTCTCTCCCCCCCTTTTTTTAACCCACTTCTCCAGAATTTCACCCTCCTTGCCCCTCTCCCTTTCCCCCTGGAAATGAGATTTGCCCCAAGCATGCGTGTTTGTTTCCACCCCGTGTTTGCAGAGTCATTCCACTTGGTCTTTTCATCTTTCTGTTCGTGCCTTTTGTTTTGCCATTCATGTTCCTTTCAGCTTACTTAAATTTTGACCTTTCCCTCTAGTCGTGGAGTGGTGATGTTTAAATTACTTCAGGAACCCATTTTCTCCTTTTATTTATTTTTTTTTAAGAGATACATATATATATTTTCCCTTACTCCATGTGGGCACTCAATGTAATATTTCCCAAGTTATTACGGTTTTTAAAAGTGTTAGTATCAGGTGTAATGATCTGTAGCCAAATACAATAGTGTGCCATGACATTTAAGTAACAATCTTAATTTGTTTTGTGCAAGCCTTCTCCATAATGCTCTTTGCAGCTCTAATCCAGAGGCGAGACAGTGCCGGGTCATTTGCATGTGCTACTCTTGCTTGTAAATTCTGGATATTGTTGTATTTCTAAAGGTCACCCGGTGCCAAAGTTCACAAATTGACTTACATTGCTTTTTTTTTCCCCCACCCAAGGCAGCCATCATGCCTTTTGTATAATAGCACATGGAATTTTATGTATTTATTTTCCCCCCTCCCCTCTCCACCTTCAAACAACACAATTACAAACTTTTTTTTTAATATATATATATTTTTATTATTATTACAAATGTCAAAGGTCAGAACGACTCGCAAACCAAGCAAGGAGGGGGGGGGGGGGGGAAAAAAACCATCTCCAGCAGCATGGAAGAGGGATGGTGTAAGGAACAGGCAATGCAAAATAGGTCACAACTCAGTAATCTCCCTATAAGGGAGGGGTTTTTTTTTTTCTCTTCACTTAAGTGCAAACCAAATGGGTCAAGTAATCGCCAGCGCATGCCCTAACACTAATTGACTTATTTTGGAATGATTATAACTGTAATATTTTTCTTAATGTCACTGTTTTCTGGGCTGTTGATTTTAGTGATTGCCAAGCGGTGGCATTAAATCTCTTGTAAATTTTAAATTGCATGCTATTTCTGTAAACAAGTCCCTCTGTTCACATCCTGATCATTAACCTTTGGTGATTTATATCACCGTCCTTTTTTTGCACAATTACAGCCCAGGCTGCTGCCGGGGGCCTGGCTCTCCCTGCCAAAGTGTGCACAGGAAACAAAAGTGGGGTTTTATTCCAGCTTGTTAAGGCAGCTTTTTTTTTTTTAACTATAATTTTGTTTCATTTCTCAGACTAAGTGTAAAATTATTGCCTTTCAGAGCTGCTAAGCTGGCTGGTTTGATCCTTTCATTGTCTTTTCAAATAAATATGAAAAGACAGAGAGTGACTGTAAGATATTCATAAGTCTTGTGGTTGTCTTTTTTCCACTTTAATAATCTTCAATTTTCTATTTGTTGTTTATACCTCCCAGCCCCATTTTTCTTCTGATCAGGTATGGTTGTTGCTACAGGTTTAGTGCTTGAGAAGCCTGTAAATTTTATTTACCTGTTCATAAACTGCAGCAGAGGAACAAACATATGGAATTCCCTTGTGTTTTACAGATCAAGTTTTTGTAGGGCCTGTCTAATTTGAGCAATCTTTTCTTTTACTGATCAAACTAAGTACTGAAGGCACCTTGGTATGGAAACACAGTCCTGCTGGCCGTGGCCCAAAAAGTTTTGAGATCAAAATGAAACTCTAAAATTGGGCAAATGTATCATTTTTTGGATGTTTTATCCCCTTCCAAAAGCTGGAGGTTCAATATTCTTATCTGTGAGCCTTTGTGTGAGAGCTGCAATGGTGAGACATGCAAATGTGGAGTTAATGAGCATTGTAAGTATTAAAAACCACATGTTTAGATAATTATGCCTTCAAAAAAGAGAACAATGATGGGAAATGACAGTCCAGAATAACAAATCTGCTTTGGTCCTTGGCACACGCTTGCTCAGTGGCACTCACACCTATTCACACACCAAAAAACATTTCCCTCAGGTTCAGCCCTGGCTTGAAAAGCTCTCCAGTCATTTTTAACTCCCTGCTGGTGTTTTTGGGTGCTCTGGGTGTGCTGCCAGGTGGGCAGATCTCACCTGGAGCCCAGTGCTGCTCTTGTGCTCTGGGGGGTGATGGTGATGCCTTTCTGGGCTACCTAAAAACAGAGGCCAGACAAAATTAAGGGAATAAAAGCAGTTCTATTTATTGAGGGGCCTTCAGGGGCTACACCCAAAAAATGAAAAATGGGTCATGGGTTTTCACACTTTTATATGTTTTGTCCATTGGGGGTTAATCTCTTGTGCTCTGGGGGGTGATGGTGATGCCTTTCTGGGCTACCTAAAAACAGAGGCCAGACAAAAATAAGGGAATAAAAGCAGTTCTATTTATTGAGGGGCCTTCAGGGGCTACACCCAAAAAATGGACAATGGGTCATGGGTTTTCACACTTTTATACGTTTTGTCCACTGGGGGTTAATCTCCCAATTAACTGCAGGTAATGAAGTAATTTCAGTTTGTTCCCCCAACAATTCAGTTTGTTTCCATCTTTCAGGGTGTCCTCGATTCCCAGGTCTGGAGAGGAATTGTTGTGTCTGACCAAAATGGGAAAGCAGCAGCTCACACTGTATATGGAGTTTAGAGTTTCACACGAAAGAATTGCAGGGTTACAAATAGATGGAAAATAGAAAAGCTGGAATCCTAAGGCTTCAGTGTGGGGGCACTCTGTGCTTGAGCTTCCCCATCAGAGGGGCTGCTCTCTCCTGGCTGTTTCATGGCAAAAATAAGGTTTTGGGTGGGATTTTCCCCAGGTCTGGGATCCCATCTGAAGGACTCAGCCTTCTGAGGGTGTCAGAATCACTGAGGTTGGAAAAGCCCTCCCAGCCCATCGAGTCCAGGCTGTGCCTGATGCCCACCTTGTCCCCAGCCCAGAGCCCTGAGTGCCACCTCCAGCGCTGCCTTGGACACCTCCAGGGATGGGCACTGCACTCCAGTCCCTGAGCACCCTTTCCATGGGGAAATTCCTGCTGCTGTCCACCCTGAGCCTGCCCTGACCCAGCCTGAGGCTGCTCCCTCTCCTCCTGTCCCTGTTCCCTGGCAGCAGAGCCCAACCCCTGCCTTGCCCCAAAATTGCAGTTACCTCCTCCATCAGATCTGTCTCATTACAAGAAATCTTGATTTAATTCATGTTAGAGTCTGCCTAAACTCTTTAGCTGTCAGATTTTGGCTGGTTTTCCACAGGAGGCCAAATGAGAAAGTCCCACGTGCTCCCTGTTGCAGGCAGCCAGGCTTGAAGCAATCCTTTGCTTCTTTGGGGGGAAAAGGAGGTAGTAGCAGGGAGTTCTGCTTAAAGCAAACCCCACTCTGGTTTTAAGGGTACCTTGTACCTGTTATCATGGCAGTGTTATTAAAATACAGAATAATTTCTCCTGTACCAGCAGATTTCAGGCCAGGCTGGACAGGGCTTGGAGCAACCTGGGATAGTGGAAGGTGTCCTGTGGCAGGGGGTGGAGCTGGATGAGCTTTATGGTCCCTTCCAGCTCAAACCATTCTGTGATTCTACAATTTTGCAGCACAGCAGGAAGCATTATCTTTAAGGAATTAAAAACCTGTACTCTCCATGCATAAAGGTCCTTATTTTCCCCCTCCTCACTGTTGCATGTGTGATTTTGGTTGTATCTGGTGGGCACTGAGGGAGAACTTTTTTGTTTGGATACTCGTACTTGGCAGTCCCAAGCTACCTTTGGTTCCAAAGTCATGCTGTGGTGCTGTGCTCGTGCAGGAAGTTACATCTAAACTGGATTTTTAAAAATTTTTCTGTCTAAACTGGATTTTAAAGAATTTTTCAACTTGAGTTGCCTTGGCACCCAAATAAAACATGGAGCCCATGAGGCAGAGGGCTTCAGTGCCTTCAGCCTTTCACCACCATTCAGAGAAATGTGATCTAAACCAGAAATAAACTCTTCCAGTGGAACACAGCCTTTACCAAGAGCTGTGGGCGAGTGACAGCAGAGCTCCGTTGTCCTGGCGGGGTTGATTTTCAAAACTAATTAGATTTAGACACTGGGTTTGGAAAGGGGAGAGAAGTATTAGCATAGCCATGCCCAGTGGGACATGGCACAAATATTTCCTTAATTGAGGCTGCTAATAAACATACTTATCTGCCAAGTGAGGGGGGTGATTCTCACCGAGTGCCAAAGGTAACGCGACCCAACACGCGCGGGACGTAAATAACACAATTGTTGTAAACAAATTGTGGTTGTAAACAACTCCTGCTCCTTCCCAGGGCACCCCAGCAGCTCTTCCCTCTCCTCCTTTTGAAAGGATGAAGGGTTATGGTGCTTGAGCAGAAGAGATTTTCAGGAGAGGGAGGAGGAGGCGATGGAAAAGGAGCTTAAATAGGTCTGGGTGTTACTTGAGGCAGGCTTGGCTGGGATTCAGGCTGTAACCTCAGCTCTTGAAGGTGCTTCAGGAGCATTTGAAACATGCCCTCATGGGGGTTTTGGTGCTGCACTTGACTTCTTCTTCCTGGGAAGTGTTTCCTGTGTGAGTGGCACGACCCTCCAGATGTGCATGATGAGTTGCTGTTAATTAGCAGCAGCACCAGCATCCTCTGCTATCAGACAGCTGTCTTGGGCAGAGATACAAATGCACAGCCTGGTTGGCCTGGAAGCCAGAAAATCCAGTCTTATTCTGGCAAAATACTCATAAATGCCTCTTAGAAATATTTATCTGTTTAAAAGTCACCTTTCAGGATGGGTGTGATTTCTGCACAGCAGAAAGGAGCCCTTGCCTACTCTTGACTTTCCATGCTGAAAGGTTGGACCAGGTGATCCTTGAGGTCCCTCCCAACCACCTGATCTTCTAGGATTTTTGTGACAGCTGTCTTGGGCAGAGATACAAATGCACAGCCTGGTTGGCCTGGAAGCCAGAAAATCCAGTCTTATTCTGGCAAAATACTCATAAATGCCTCTTAGAAATATTTATCTGTTTAAAAGTCACCTTTCAGGATGGGTGTGATTTCTGCACAGCAGAAAGGAGCCCTTGCCTACTCTTGACTTTCCATGCTGAAAGGTTGGACCAGGTGATCCTTGAGGTCCCTCCCAACCTGATCTTCTAGGATTTTTGTGGCTTGGAATTGTGCCCCTCACTGGTGCAAGGTGTTATTTATGCAGTTCTTAATATTGAGAGTAAAATAGGAGGGGAGTGGAAATGGAGACCAAGGTGATTTGTGCACATTATTCAGGACCCCTCCTGAGAGATACCAGGAGGTGTGAGTGCTTCTGGACATGTGTTTTCCCTACATTCCATAGACTAAAAATGGAGTTCTCTGGAACAAGTTATGGACTAATTGTATCCTGTGGTAATTTTCAGAGTGGTTTTCTAAACCTGATCCCAGTCCCACATCACAAACACATGGGATGGGGAAGGCGGGGGGGCCATGCCCTGAACGTTTGTTTTTTCTTCCACAGTCCTAAGAAATTTTATCTCTTTGTTTTCCAGAAGTGGGTGGGCTGTGGCAGTGTCTGGTTTTTGGCAGAGCAAAATAAATTGTGAACTTGGGTTAAATGCAGTTGGCTGTGGAAAGATGATGGTGAGAAGTGTCCCTGGAATCCCAGAATGATTTCTGTTGGAAGCGACCTTAAAGCCCATCCCATTCCACCCCTGTTATGAGCAGGGACACCTTCCACTGTCCCAGGCTGCTCCAAGCCCTGTCCAGCCTGGCCTGGAACATTTCCAAGGATGGGGAAGCCACATCTGGGCACCCTAAAATTCACTGATTCCATGTGGGCTTCCACTAAAAGAAGAAACCTCTTGTGCTTTTCCTTCCGTATCACCACAGTCTCACAGTTTTGGCTCATTTCCCAGCCCAGCCACCCTTCCCTCTTCAAAAAAAGAAAAAAAAAAGGCAAAACAAACAACAACAGCATTTTTAGACATCTCCTGTTGATAATAACTTCCAAATGGAAGTCAGTGGCAGCTGGTTCTTCACACTTTAACCCTTCCTCTGCTGCCCTTCCAGGAAATAATTGATGACTGATTGGCCCATTAACCTTTTTTTCTTTAAAAAAAAAAAAAAGTTTGACAGCCTGGACTTGTGTAATGAGGAGGGATTCCTGGTGAAATCAGGCTGATGGCTGAGTTGCTTGCCCCTGAGGATGCAAAATTAGCCCCATGGGACCTCGTCTGCATAGAAACTGGACACAATTAGTGTAATATCCGGTGTTATTAATGTAGTTTGGAGTAATTGGGCAGGTTGATTTCGACAGGTTGATGGTGCTAAAATACTATTATAGTGGACCTTTCCATGAATAACTGTTAAACATGGAAAACTGTTTAATAAAATTTTGTGATTGGGCTCACAGGGATTTAAATAGCACAAGCTATAATTTGGCTGAAGAGTAAAAGTGAACAACTTCATCCTCCTGCCTGGATTTTCCTGTTCCTGCATGCTGTGCTTAAGGACATACAGGAACAGGTTTGTTCCTTGTCTTCTGAAGGAATTGCCCTGGGGCTGATGTGGAGCAGGCACTGCTGCTTTGTTTCACAGTTGAGCTTGGGGGGAAAAAAATACTGGTGTGTTTAAGCAGAAAAAATTAAGGAGGATGCCTTCAACCAGCACAGCTTTTTGGGGAGTAAATCTGAAGCTTCAGTGGATATAGAATCATGGAATTACTAAGGTTAGAAATGACCTACAGGATCATCAAGTGCAGCAGTTCCTCCAGCACTGCCACGTTCCCCACTAATCCATGTCCCCAGGTGTCATATTTACAAATCTTAGCCACAAGGGCCCCCCTGAGCCTCCTTTTCTCCAGGCTGAGCTCCTTCCCAGTTCCCTCAGTCTCTCCTGGGGCTCCAGCCCCTTCCCCAGCTCCATTTTCTCCTTCCCAGTTCCCTCAGTCTCTCCTGGGCCTCCAGCCCCTTCCCCAGCTCCATTTTCTTCTCTGGACCTCAAAATGTCCTTCCAGCCCCACCTGAAAACGTGCTGCAGCTCTCCTGGGCTTATTTCTCCTGGGCAAACCAGCTCCATGTGTGATCAGCATCATTAAAGAGCAGATCAGAGCAGTCAGTGGTGCTGCAGAGACCTTAACTGTGTTGTCCTACAGGAGACAGTGCACAGGGCTGAATGTAACTTCATTTATTGTGGAGTAGTTCCTCTTAGATCCTCCTCACAAAACCCTGAAAGCTCTGCTTGATAAACGAGGCTTTGGCCGTGATTAATTCATGGCATTTTGGGGAATGTTTCTACCTGTTTGTTTGGAACACTGTGTTGCTAAAGTGGAACACTTGTAGCTGTGCATCATTCATCTTTGACCCAGGTGAATGACATGGAGCTGTGTCAGGGGGGTTTAGGTTGGATTTTAGGAAAAGGTTCTTCTCCCAGAGGGTGTTGGGCACTGAACAGTCTCCACAGGGTTTGGGCATAGCCCCAGGCTGCCAGAGCTCCAGGAGCATTTGGACACCACTCCCAGGGATGCACAGGGTGGGATTGTTGGGGTGTCTGTGCAAGGCCAGGGGCTGGACTTTGATCCTCTGGATCCCTTCCAACTCTGGACATTCCATGATTTCTTTTCCCACTTAGCCCATGCACAGTTTTCCAGTAAAACTGTTTCAGGTACTTTCCTGCACCTGAAAATGACATTGAGCTCTGTGTTTATCCCCACCTCGAGGTGCCAAGTCACCTCCTGCTGCTTTTGAGGCATCCTTACAGCAGTGCAGGCACTGGCCTTGCTGACATGGAGCTTATCCAAGAAAACCCCTTGTCCCCCAGCTTGGGAACACAGCTGCCAGCAGTGCTGTCTTTAAATCTGCTGCTGGATCTGTCCCTGATCTGTGCATGTTTATGGATGATGAGGGAACACAGTGGTGGCATGGCTCTGAATATATAATAAGTCATTATCGGACAAAATGTTCTTTCTGAAGCTCGTTATGGCTGATGTTCACCAGAATTTTGTGCTCTATTATTCTTTTCCTTTCATGCCTCGTGCCAGCCCGTCCCAATTGCACTCACTCTGCTTCAGCTTCCTTGATTTTTTTAATTTGGCACTGGTGTCCCATGTGTAGGTGGGGTGTGTGTCCATTTATTTCAGTTTGCTGCTATTTCCATGTGCTGCTCCTCTGGCCTGAATACTTGTCCTTCTCCTCCAGCAGCCCTAAGGATATTTCACTGACCCTCTCTCCTGGCTTCTCAGATCATTTTCTCATCTCCCATGTCGGACGTGGATGTTGAATAGGTTGAACTGATTTTAATCCTGTATTATAGCCTAGTAATTATTATTATTATCATCCCAGTATTTATGTTGTAGAGGAGAAAATGTCCACATCTGCTTTAAAATATCTGTGCTTGTAAAAACTGCTTGAAAGAAGAGGGTAAATGGTTACATTTTCTGTATTATCAGCTCTTTGTGGTCCATTCATCTTTTATTTTGTGGCACCCTTTGATTTTTACATTATGCAGCTTTTAGCACCTCAGGCTTAAATCTGAATGAAGCTTGTTGGCCACTTTATGTTTGATTAAGGTACAGACTCGATTCCAAGCTCACAAACACAGGGACTGAGTATTTACCAAAACCTCTGCTTTATCTGCATAGCATTTGGAGAGGAAAAGCAGATCCTGGTTGTTTCCTGGTGCACTGTGCAGGGCAGGATCCACACCTGCAGTTACAGGATTTGCACAATCTCAGAATGGTTTGGATTGGAAGGGACCTTCAAGATCATCCAGTGCTACCCGTGCCATGGGCAGAGACACCTTCCACTGTCCCAGGTTGCTCCAAGCCCTGTCCAACCTGGCCTTGGGCACTGCCAGGGATGCAGGGGCAGCCACAGCTGCTCTGGGCACCCTGTGCCAGGGCCTGCCCACCCTCACAGGGAAAAATTTCTCCCCAGTATCCCATCTAAATCTACCCGCCTTCATCTTAAAGCCATTGTGTAACAGAAGTTCTTATCAACCAAGGTTGTTTCAGCTGCTTTTCACTATCCTTAACTTAACCTGTTGCATTTATTTTTTCTTTTTTTTTTTTTTCCCAGAGCAAGAAGAGAACTTTGAGTTTATCATTGTCTCTCTCACGGGCCAGACTTGGCACTTTGAAGCAACCACCTACGAAGAGAGGGACGCGTGGGTCCAAGCCATAGAGAGCCAGATCCTGGCCAGTTTACAGTCCTGTGAGAGCAGCAAGAACAAGGTATGGGGCACAGAGTAATGCTGGCAATCACCCATGGGTCAGGGGATCATTAGGATGGCAGCAAATTCTGGATTTTAAGGCCTTGCTCCTCAAGGTGTGTGTGTTCCCCCCAGAGCTGAGCAGGGTTGGAGCTCTCTAAGGGAAGAACGTGGCCTGGGAGGAGCAGATTTCCCCTTGGAATGCTTTCCTTTGGTGACACAAGGAATCTGCTCAGCTTTCCTGTCAAAACTAATGTTTAAAATCTGAGATGTCTTCAGCCAATGCTCATTTTGGGAGAACTTCTGTGTCTTGAGTGCAGGTGTCTGTAAACACTTCACAGGAGAGAGCAAGGTGCTGAGTGCTGATTGAGGGAGAGAAATGGCCAATAATTGTCCAGAACTGTAGATCCTTGAATGTTTCCCACCTAACAGTTGTCTTTCATGATTTTATAGTGCAAGGAAGAAACTCATACTTTAAATGAATGCCTGTCTTCATTGCCCTGCTGTGCCAGACTAGATCAAACACCAGTAATTACCATCATCATAACACAATTTACTTCCCATTTTGTGTTAAAAAATGGTTTTTTTCTAGCATATATTCCTGAGAGGGAGGAAAATCACAGCTTACATGTTTCTTGCTTAGCATGGGTTCACACCTTCTGAAATGAATGTGTGTGTTATCAGAGCACAGAAGGGGAAGTTTGTACATTAACACCTACATAAAAAGATGAATACAAAAGGATAAAGAGTGGTTGGGAAATGGCTCAGAGAGGTTCTTCTCACTGGGTTCCCAAAGCATGTGAGAAGAACTGGCTGGAACAGCAAAGGGCAGTTGGCTGGACAGGTTTAGCAGGTGTCCCATGGAAGTTGTGTCTCCAGGTGGATATCCTCCACAAGCCTATTTAAATCACACCCTCAGGTAGCCCTCAAGGCAGTTTAGTTGGTGTCTGGGTTTGAAAAGACAGGTGTCTGCTAAGGAAGGCAGGAGCCTCCCCTAAAATGGAAAATGTAAACCCCCTCCCCTTGAGCTATTATAATTTTGAAATTAAGGGGCTCTCAGGCAAAGATATGGGAATAGGAATAACAGTTCTTTACTAGGGAAGAAAATAAAAATGAAATAAATAATGCAGAGATAGAGGACAACACTGACAGAGTCAGAATACGACCTGACACCCTGTGGGTGAGGGTGTTGCTGGCAGTCCCATTAAGTGGTGGCTGCAGCCCTCCTGCAGTGCCAGGTGTGGTTCTGCTGGGGCAGGGATCCTGGACAAGGGTGGAGTTTTCCTCTGAAGGTCCAGTGGTGATGTAGATGGGCTTGGACTTCCTCTGGGAATGCAGGGCAGAAGAAAGCTGCTCCTCTGGGAATGCAGTGGGGAAAGGCTGCTGTGGTGTTCCCAGTGTCAGATTCTGTCCAGGAAGGAATGCTTGGTTCCTCTCCCTGGGTGCAGCATCTCCCAATGGCTTGAGGAATTTTATCAGCCATGCAGGACACTCAGTGGCCATGAACAGAAGATACCTCCTGCAGGGAGGATTTGCTGTGGAAAAGATTAAGAAAACTGCCCAATTAAGAGAAGAGAACTGCCCCACCTCTGACAGACACAGAATAGAATACACACCCCCAGGCATATCTTGTATTTCCAGCCTAAGACAGCTGGGTGGAGCTGACCTGCCTGTACATCAGGAGAATCTCCCCCAGCAGAGGTCGTGGGCAGGTCATCGTGGGGAGCATTTAAAGGGGAGCCACCGGGTGAAATCTGACCTTTGGATGATGAAAAACTTCCAGCCTCTTCTGCAAACGTCCCTTAGTCTTCATTAGCACAAGCACACACATCAATAAAAGAAATTGATCTTGTAAAATAATATTCTTGTCTCATTTATCTCAAGAAGCAAGCCTACAGTGTGGCTGCTGCTCTTGGGAAGAGCAGGGCCAAGCAAGATTTAGAATCTCTGTTAGAATCCAGGCTGGAGACCCCAAAAGTCTGGGAGGTGCCAAGGATCACTGTTCCTTGAGAGGCAAATGAAGACTTGAGGTTCTTTGGCTGTGTTCATTCGACCTTGGTCTGAGCTTTGGGGTTTGCTGCTGGTTCAGCTGACAGTTGTGTCCTGGGGGTTTTTGGGTTCTTGCTGCTGACTGGTGTCTCTGGCTCCCCGCAGTCGCGCCTGACGAGCCAGAACGAGGCCATGGCGCTGCAGTCCATCAGGAACATCAGAGGCAATGCCCACTGCGTGGACTGCGAGGCACAGAGTGAGTACAGCCGCCTGACTGCCCTCTGCCCCTTCTCCTTGGCCAGGCCCTGGCAGCACCCAGCCCTCTGTGACATCCCCTCTGTTGTTTGCACATCTCTGCTTCGTGCAGGATTTGCTTAACCAGGCTCATTTGATCTTAATTTATGCTCAATATCTGCCACATCAAGTGCATCCTGCTTTTTTCCCCTCGTTGTTTCACCTTGAATGTCAGCATTACTGTACTTTACTTCAAAGAAAAGGCAAAAAGTTTGTTGTTTGACACCAGTCCCTTCCATTTCCCTCCTGTTTTGCATGGTGAGAGCACACGTGCCATGGTAATATTTTCAAAGAGGTAGAGCTTGATTGCTGGCTGTTTGGTTTGGTTTTTCAGGCTTGCTTGTCAGAAGAAACCAAAGTCATTGCTCATTATATCTGGATACTAGAAAACTGATTTTGGATTATTTTTTTTCTTCCCCTTTGTGTTTCTTTCCCCCTTTTTTTTTTATTTTTTGAAACATATGCTCAGTGTTCTGAAGAGTGTTCTCAGGAATACTTTGAGCTGTGCTTCACCTCACTAACCCCGACTGAGGCCATTATTCTGGTGCTCTTTAGTTCCAGGGGTTTGCAACAAAGCCACAGAAAGGAAGTTCTCTTGCTCTAAAGCAATTAGTTGTAGGAGCTAAAGGACTGAGAACTTGTGCATTTTTATTTCTTTGATATTTGGAAGTCAGAACTTTCCTTGTGATTTTTACACATGCTTAAAATGGAAAAATATTCGCTTACTTTTCTTCAGGTGTGACTTTTATTTTTATAGATTGGCTGCTTGGGGTTCTGACTCCAGGTCTATGCCATTCTGACCCCCCAGTGTAAAAAGGACATTTGTACATAAGTGCAGGTGCTTTTGCACCAATAATTTGGTCTCTGCTTTCACTCTCAGTGATCCAGCACATGCTAAACCAGGGAAAAGCTTGGTTTGAGAGGTATTTTAGCATCTGGTGCCCAAAGCAAGTCTTATTTATCAGTGTGCTTTCATAGTGACCTGGCAGTCGTTGAGATTTCCCCCAAAGCTTTGATGCAGCTCAGGAGGAAGGCAGGAAGGGTGTGTGCTGTGGATGAGGAGGAGGGGGTCTGGGAGTGACCTCCATGGATATTTAGCTCATTTGAAATACTCACTGCTGCCTCTGAGCAGCACATGGTCGGAGTGGTACTGAGTCCTGCTCCACTGTTGGTGGCATTTTCCTAGCCTTGGTAACTAGATATTTATTTATAAAACATACAAATATATTCTATTTTTATATTTTTTTTTTTATGGATGGTTATATTATACATCCATAAGATGCAGTCCTTTCAGTGCAGACAACTTCCACAACATCCTTCTGATCCACCTCAGCCCTACCCAGACTCTACACTCCTAGCCCTGCTAGCTGGATATTTATTTATAAAATATACAACCAGATTCTATTTATATATATATATTTATGGGAGATTATATTATGTATCTATAAGATACAGTCCCTTCAGTGCAGACAACTTCCACAACATCCTTCTGATCCACCTCAGCCCTACCCAGACTCCACACTCCTAGCCTTGCTAACTAGATATTTATTTATAAAATATACAGTTATATATTTTATATATATTTATGGGAGGTTATATTGTATAGCCATAAGATGCAGTCCCTTCAGTGCAGACAACTTCCACAACATCCTTCTGATCCACCTCTGCTCTACCCAGACTGTCCCCAAGGCTGGTGTTTCTCTCCCCAGCAATGCACATAACCCAGGATTTATGCAGCCAGGATGGATGCTTCATCAGGAAAATGCTTGTGCAAGAAAGCAGCACTCTTTTTTTATCTTTTTTTGGTTTTTTTCCCCCAACCAATCTGTTTTTCAGTCAGATTGCTCATGGGTCAAGCTGGCCCCCGTGCCTGGTGCCAGCAGCAGGGATGTGCCAGGAGCTCGTTGCTGGGAGGGGGCAGAGTGGGGCAGCCCGTTTTGGCAACACTCTGTCATGTGGCTTTTGTGGGGGGATGATTTTGGAATCTCAGCTGGACTTGTTTGTATTCTCACAGATGATTTATACCCTCTTTGACTCCTCGTGCTGTTTGACCTTCCTGATTTTAAGGCCACTGTCGTTCCTTTGGAAAAATGTGAGATATTTCCAGAGCCGTGGAATCTAAAATGTAAACACACACAGAGGAGGTGAACCTCAGCCTGCTGCTTTTTCTGCAGGGCTTTGCTTCATTCCCTTGCTGCCTTGCCTGGGCAGGTCCTTACCCCCAGAGCACTTAACATCACAAACCCCAGCACTCCGTGGAAGTCTCACGCTGTTTGCATCTCCACAGAGCCAGATGTTTGGGAGCACAGGAGTGTGAGATGTTGCCATCCCTCAGCTCTATTCAGGAGTCATCAATCTCACACTTCAGAAGCCTCATTCTCCCTCTTTCTGGAGCTCTTTGCCTTTTGAGCACTTGATGCAGCACTTTGTTTCACGGGGGAATTCTGCCTTGTTGGATGTTAATCCAGCAGCTGTGTGCTGCCAGCATCCTGGCTTTTGGCAGCCTCCAGCTAAAGTTATTCAATATTCTCCTGTCAGCATTCCCATCCCAGAGCCAGAGAAGAGGCAAAGTGCTCTTTAGGAGCTGGAGTTTGTGCCCAGGATTTGATTTCAAGTTTGAAAAGGAAACTGGTGTTGCCTTTTCCAGAGCAGCAGAGTCCTGGTGCTGACTGTCTGGAAAAGCCACCCAAGGTGATCCAATAGTTCAGGGAAACCCAGCTGAATTTCTGGATTTTGGCTCAGCAGAGGATAAATATCAGTCACCTCTCCCAAGACACCTGGAGAACATGGGACATGAGATCTTCGCTGTTGTAGAAGAAAATAGGGAGTGTTTAAAAACATGGATTCTCATAATGAGTTTTCCATTCCAGGAGTCTGATCACATACTCCGGTGTATTTTGTATTTGAAAACCAGACACTGAGATAATAATTTGGACAATCTTGTCCTACCCATCACAAAATTCAGTTTTTCATACAGAATAGGAAAATGAAAAAGAATAGAAGAGTTGCAAACTTTTCTCCCCCTTCTGCAGCAACTCAAGATGCCCTCACCCCTGCTTCTTCTTTCCCTGGCTCTTCTGCTCCTCCTTCCAGCAATTCCTTCTGCTCAGCCCAGGGATATCTCACAGCTGCTGACCTCAGGAAGGTTCAGCCTTTCATCAGCCTCCTTGGATCCAAAGGGATGAAGGAGACAGTGGGGAGGGGTTATTCTCCTAAGGGAGTGTTCACCTCCAAATGGTGAAGCTGATTGAGGTGAGAGTCAGAGTGGGGAAGAGTTTTTCAGGGAAGGAGTGAGCTGAGATTTTGAGGCTATCAACAGCTGGAAATTGTAATCTGGATATATTCCAGATTACAATTCCAGCTCATTTTTTGTTTGACCAGTTCTAAGTAAAGCACCTCTAGCTGCACTGAGTTGGCTTTTTCTTCCTTTTGCTGTCAAACCTTGACGCCCACACCTGCCACGTGCTCGTGAATCCCCCAGTTCAGAGTTGCTATCACCATCAGCAGGAAAAGGGAGCTGGGTTTGTATCATCTTTAAAGTTAAAAAAAAACCAAACCCAGCCTTGAATAGTTACAGCTTTCTAACCACTTGTGGTGTGAATTTGTGATAGCAATTTCCATTTCTGTAACAAGCCCGGCCCTTGCCTTGCCACATTTGCCACTTTCCCACTCAGCTGTGTGTTGTCAGATTGTTGAAATTGAAAATAATATCTTGCTGAAATTTCATGGAACTTCCTGGTTGTTGTTTTGGGGGACTCCTTCGGTCCTAGCAGTGCTGGCAACTGAGAGGCTCTTCCAACCCAAACCATTCTGTGATGCTCTGAAGCAGGGGAATAATTCAAGAATTTTTTCAGTACAAAATGCTCTACATGTGCTTCAAGTAGAGAGGTGTTTGGGAGGGAGATCAGGTCCTTAACTCCAATTCTGTCAGACTAATTGGAATAATGGAAGTTGGTATTCCATTCTCTTGCTTCATTCTGAGTTCATGCCTCTTAGAGCTCATTGCACTTGGGATTTTTGTGAGGATAACCCTGGCCTTTGCAGGTCAGGGGTTTCATCCCAGTCACAGTTTGCAAATTTCAAGTTATTACTTGCTGTGTTCAAATTTATACCAACAAATTGAGATTTTGGGGGATTTTTATTGTGTTTCAGACACACCAGTGGTTCCCCCACTGGCAAAACCACAGTGGAGGTGTCTGAAAAATTACGGAATTGAAGGAGTTTTGTAGTTGTTGTACCAAAAGCTTGGAAAGCATGGCAGGAGTTTTGTCTCACCTGATTTTTTTGGAGATCTGAAATGCTGTATATCTATAATGTGGATATTAAATTATGTATAATGTAGGACTTGGTATGCACAGGAACTTTTAAACAAAAGATGTGCTTTTCTGCTCAAGTGGAATGGGATGAGGGATTTTTCTTCTTGGTTGCATTTTTAGATTTCCATGGACTGGTTGAAAAATGTCAGTCAATGCCTTCAGTGAAATGTGGGACTTCACAATTAAAATTATGAGCTTTCCTTTCCTATTTTTTGTCCAAACGTGACATGGGAAAGAACTAGAAAATGTTTTGTTTCCACATATTTTGGCTGCCAGAAATAGCTTTTCAGTTGTGGGTTACACAAAGTGGAGACAAGTCTTTGGATTAATTTTTCACAACAGAAGGAAACATTGGAAATTCATTTTCTGTCAGCTCCAAATTTTGTTTCGATAGGAACAAGAATTGCCTGCCCTCTTAATTAATCCCCATTTTCCTGCTTGGCATTTGGGGTAGTTCTTTGGGATGCACCGAGTGAGGCATGAAGAAAAGATCTGACAGCAGGGGGTTAGAAAAAAGAAAACAAAATTCCTCTCATATTTTTGGTTGCATATGTTAAGGTGAATGGTTGTTGGAGAGAAGGCAATCCATACAAATCTAGATTTTGATTACACAGGACAGTGGCAAAAGAGCTTTGAACCATGTTGGGAAATGGAATTTCCCATCTGGTGTCAGGTTTGTCCCAGTGTCACCCTTTGTGGGGTTGTTTTGGGTGGGTGCAATCCTTCTGGCTCGTGCCCTGGAACTGGGGCTGTTCCAGGTGGGACATGCCCACCTTGGTGTTCATCTCCCTGATGCTGGAGATGGAAGAAGAGTCAGATGGAAGCACCATAGGCAGCTGCTGGTGTGCTTGGTTGTTGAGGGAGCTGATGGAGTTAGCATGAGGTAATTGTTTCTAGGCTCTGGTTTTTGTCTCCTTTTTCCCTTTCAGCTGACTACGAGCAGCTCTGGGTTCCCAGGGAGGGGCTTTCTTCGCTGTTTCATCATCCTTTATCCATCACTGTGCTTATATTGCCTTTGTTCCTCCTTTTCCCTCTAATTCATTGGGGTTTTTTGACTGGAGGTGGAGTGATGCATCTTTTGAGACACCACATTTTATTTTTCTGTACTCCTTGAAGGGTTGGCACCTCCACTGACCCTGGAAGACCTCCCAGCTGCTCTTTAGGACAAGACACCCCCAGAGCCAAAACCTTCATGCACAAACACCAGCTGGGAAGTTCTGTGGGGTGTTCCATTGTGCTAACTGCTGTGTCCCTTGTCCTGCAGACCCCGACTGGGCCAGCCTCAACCTGGGAGCCCTCATCTGCATCGAATGCTCAGGTATCCACCGCAACCTCGGCACGCACCTGTCCCGGGTGCGCTCCCTGGACCTGGATGACTGGCCCATCGAGCTCATCAAGGTCATGTCAGCCATTGGCAACGAGCTGGCCAACAGTGTGTGGGAGGAGAACAGCCAAGGCCACGTGAAGCCTTGCCCAGACTCCACCAGGTGGGTTTGCGCTGGCCGCGCTGTCGCTGTGATATTTTATGGAAATCCTTTGCTAGGATTTTTCTCCTATTCTAGCTGAGAAGCCTCAGAAAAGAAATGTAAACAATTAACTATCTGATGGCCACGGAATGTGGTCTGGAGGTTGTTTGCCAACAGGTGCATCTGTGATTGGTGCATGTGGATTGTTTCTGCTCAATGCCATGGTCCAGCTGTGTGGACTCTCTGAGAGTCACAGGTTTTTATTATTCATTCCTTTCCATTCCTTTCTAGCTTTCTGAAGGATCCTTTCTCTCTATCCTTTTTAGTATAGTTTTAGTGTAGCATTTTAATATAATATCATAATACAATAAAAGAGCCTTCTGAAACATGGAGTCAAGATTCTCATCTCTTCCCTCATCCTGGGACCCTTGAACACAACCACACCGTGCCTCGCCCGGCGCGTGACACTGCCACCACTTTGGAGTTCTGCCTTGTGGGAAAATCATCATTTATAACATCACATTGTTTATAACCCCAGGAAGAACGTGTGGCAAAGTGGGAGGTGGCAAAAGTTGAGTGACCTCGTTGCTTTCTCGCTCTTGTGAAGGTTTCCTCAGCAGCTCTGCAGTTTTCTGTTCAGTGGGAGATGGAAACCTCCCACCTGCTTCTTCCTCCATCCAAATTATCCTGTCATGTGCTCCTTTGTCTCAGTGGGCCACCAAGCTCCTGCCTCTCCTGTCATTTTGTCATTAACAATCTCCCTTCAGAGTTTCTTGTACCTGGCTGTCAGGTCTTTGGTCCTGCTCAGGGATGTTCAAAGTCCTGCTCGCCATGGACTTGATTGCTTTTTTTGTGTGTGATGTATGTGAAACCATGAGCTGCTGGGGGGTGTCTCCTTTGAGAGCAGCTTTTTACCTGCCTCTCATAGCTCCACACAGTGAAAATCTTCCTGTGATGTGCTGTCCTACCTGAAACTGGGGGGTTTTATGCTGAATTAATCTGATCAGTGTCAGAGACAGATGTTTTGAGAATACTTTTTGCAGTTGTGGATCAGGTGGAGGGATCACCATGCCTGGGCCAGTTCCTGCAGCAGAGGGCTGGGTTTGTGCTGTTGTGTGTAATAAAGTCAAGTGTTCCTTATTGCATTATTTCGTTAGCCCTGAAAAATGAATTTGTGGTGCCACCTTTGGTTCATCTTCGAGAATGAAGCCACTGCATTAATCAGGCTACTTAGATGAATGGCTGTGCATCTAAAAGTGCTCAGGGAGCCCCAAAGAGAGGTTTTGTTCAGGCAGAAATGGGATGTCTGCTCTATACGTGTGTATTATTGGGCACAATGATTTCATTAAGTAGATTGAAATGAACTTTCAGTCATTGCTGTCACTTCAATACCGAGATTTTATATTCTTGCACCTCACAAATATATGTTGCTCCTTACTGCTGAGGTGAGTAGTTCCAAACAGCTGAAAGGAAAGTGCTTGCACTCAATTGGAATTCTATTAAAAAAAAAAGAAAAATCACATTATTTCAGTAGTCATGTAATAATCATCATGAAAAATCTAAAATCCATGTGACTGTGATGAAAAGAGCACCATCCATTTCAATTAATAACTCACTCAGGATTGAATTTTACTTCTAGAAAATCAACTTTTTTTCTCTTAGAATTTCATACACAGGGCTTATTTTAATTCTCCCACTTTGTTTCTGTGCATCTTCATGGTTATATTCTGACATAGTTGTATGGTTATATTCTGATTGTCACTGATATCACTGCCCTTTCTCTCCTGCACTGCAACATTTTTGGACAAAAAGATTCATTTTATAGATAGGATTTTCTAGCTCTCTGTCCAGGTTCATGCTTATGTGATAGAAGAGGTGCTAGGAAAAGCAGAATTAGGATGATGTGGAAATTTTCCCACAAAGTAATTGCAGTCTTGCTTTGCTGCTCCCATTCCTCTGCTGTTTGCAGCAGGGACTGAAATGCAATTTTTTACATAAATACCAGAGAGTTCTGCTTTTTCCAAGTGTGTGCCTGCTTCTGTGCTTCCCTTTGGTCTCTGCCAGCATCACAATCCTTCTGTCCAAGCTGTGGGGAGAAAATAAATTCAAGTTCTTCAGGTAGAGGCTCTGCTTCCCATGGTCTCACTGCTGCTTGGAGTTTTGCATGAGGAATTCTATTGGAAGCAGCTGAAATGGCCCTGAAAGGAGGGTTAAACAAACCTTCCTTTTGTTGTTGTGGAGGGACTGCAGGGGGAAGAGGCAGCTCCAGGAGAGCTGGAGAGGGACTTAGGACAAGGAATGGAGTTACAGGACACAGGGAATGGCTCCACTGCCAGAGGGCAGGGATGGATGGGATATTGGGAAGGAATTGTTCCCTGTGAGGGTGCTGAGGCCCTGGCACAGGGTGCCCAGAGCAGCTGTGGCTGCCCCTGGATCCCTGGCAGTGCCCAAGGCCAGGCTGGATGGGGCTTGGAGCACCTGGGCTAGTGGGAAGTGTCCCTGCCCATGGCAGGCATGAAACTGGATGGTCCTGAAGGTCCCTTCCACCCCAAACCATTCTGGGAATCTCATTCTGTGATGGGCCCTCCATAGACACTTTTAGAGGGCATCAGGTGGGTTTCACCTTTTCATGTTGTGTCCTTCTATTGGGGATGAAGCTATCAGTGGAAACCCACACATTTCTAGGGACACCAAAAAAAAAAAAAGTAATGAGCTGCTCCACAAATACTGAGTTGTTGGGCTGGGAGGCTCAAGGAATGTTCACAGGCTGGACTAAGAGGAACCTGAAAGTCTTGATGTGGCTTTCAAAGCAGTCCCTTCAGCCTGGGAGAGGTTGGCACTGATCACTCTATGCTTGCTGTGGCATTCTCTGTGTTTCTGTGGAGTAGAGGAGAGGTAGGAGGAATTCATGGAGATGGTTTCTGACAGGAGGAATTGCCAAATGGCTACTCTAGGTCATGGTATAATTAAGGAATCTTAGCTAGGAAAATGTCACCATTATTTCTGGAAACAGAGCTGAGTGCAGCTTCCCTGCAGTAATTTTGCACACTCAGAAATAAGATACCAAATTCAAGACCTTACCATGGCCTGCACCTTCCTCATGAGGGACAGCTCCAATCTCTGCTCTCTGTGACAGGGACAGAACCCAGGGAGTGGCTGGAGCTGTGTCAGGGGATGTTTAGGTTGGATTTTAGGAAAAAGTTCTTCTCCCAGAGGGTGCTGGGCATTGCCCAGGCTCCCCCAGGGAAAGGGCACAGCCCCAGGCTGGCAGAGCCCAGGGAACATTTGAACAATGCTCTCAGGGATGCACAGGGTGGGATTGTTGGGGGGTCTGTGCAGGGCCAGGGGTTGGACTCCCTGATCCTTGTGGTCCCTTCCAGCTCAGCAAATTCTGTGATTAAACCACATGAAACACTGCTGTGCTTTTCTAACCCACTCAGATGCACTTCAGATTCTCCATCCAAGCAAATCATAGGAAAAGATAAACCCGGACACTTCCTTTGGAGGCCAGAAAGGTTCTGAGATTGGAAGGTGTGTAAAATCAAAGCCTGGGAGCTCTTCAGCCAAAGGCATTATCCCTCCTGCACTGGGCAGGGATATACTGCTCAGCTATATCCTCTAATGTTGATGTGTTCTAGGAGAGGCAAGCAGCCTGGTCTAGAGAAGGTGTGCCATGGCAGGGGGTGGGATGAGATGGGCTTTAAGGCCTATTCCAACCCATTTCCAATCCATCCTGGGATTCTTCAGGCAGATCTCCAGGTCTTTCGGTGCCCCTGTAAGTGAAAAGCAGCAGCCAGGATGGCCTCTGGCACTGACCTGGAAGGCTTTGGGAGCACAGGTGTGGTGGGATCCCCAAGGAAGAGGCACAAGGCAGAGCTGAGGGTGTTTCTGGGATTTCTTGAGGAAGGAGGAATAAACAGGAGCTCCGCTGAGCACGGAAAGTTGGGGAAATGGTGGAAAAGCCAAGCCCAGGCAAACACTTGAGTATGAAAGGGAGCAGGGACCAGCTGGCCCCTGAGCTGTGGTGTCTGTGGGTCCCTGATTAGGTCAGCTCTGGAGAGCTGGTAATTGGTTCCAGCAATTACCAGCAGCCCCGAGAACGCCGCTCCAACTCGGGGAGGCCTGTGACAAATTGAAGCTGACTGCTGCTGAAGGAGTATCGACTTCCCATTCCTAAACAGGGGGATCATTAGTCAAGAAAAGCATCTTTTAATTACTCCCAGGAAGAAAAAAAAAGAAAAAGAGCAAAGAAGGGAAAAGATCTTTTGGTATGGATCCTGCAACAACCGCCAGGTTTTTTTTCCAAGTGTATTCAATATTAAATTTATTGTCTCTGAGGGGAGGGGGCGAGCAGGGGGAGCTTGCCTGCAGTCCCTCCTTGGGTAATGCGGGTTTAATTTGGAGTGAGAAGTCAAATTAGAGTAAATCAATGTTGGGACAATTAACTGGGGCTGGGGATGGGATCAGGATTTTCCCTCTAATTGCTATTGATACTGTTTAAGCACACTCTCACAGTGCTGCTTTGCAGTGCTGCAGCTCTGGAGGAGCCCTGTGGGGCTGAGCAGCTCTGTGGAGGAATGTTGGACATGTGGGGAAGCCAGCCTGGGAATTCTTTGCCTATTGCACTGGTGTGTCCATCTCCTACCAGATATTTAGCTTTTTCTGGACATGCCTCACTTGTTTTGCTTTGTCCTCGTGCTGGCTTCTGCTTTGCAGACTCATTTGCCACCGTTGACTTCCCAAGGTGGTGTTGGCCTTTTCCAAAGGAGACAAGCTGCCCCCATCCCTCTGCCCACTCCAGGAGATGATTATTTATCTGCTCCCTCACCCTCCTTCCCTGAGCTCCATCTCAGTCTCCCTGGGTGTGTTGGGATGGATGTGCCACCTCCACCAGCTGGAACTTCCAAGGCAGGCTCATGTGCAGGCACCATCCCAGCCACGCTTCTTGTTCTGCTGCTCAGACAATGCCAAATATCTGCATTGGCTACACTCAGATAGGGCTCCACCATTCCAGCACCTTC